ATCAAAAGAACGGTGAATAAGTTTAAAAAAGAATGAACAGTAGAGGGGGGAAATGGATCAGGAAGTCACAACAGCAAGAGGGATCATCATTTCAACTTAGAGCTATGTAAATACTTATTTTTCAAAGTTGTGTCATATATTTGTATAAAACCTTGGAAAATTCCAGTAAGAAATCTTTAATCATTTCTAAGGTACATCATTTCAAATCATACTCTAACAACTGGACAATTTTGCGGTTACACCTTGTATATATACACTTGTACACAAATATACACGCATACACACCTACACAGGCATATAAATATATTAGAGCCCTTTTCCTATCTATACGTATACACACATATGCATATACACATGCTTTCTCATACATACATGCGCACGAATATATATACACACATACACGCATATGATGTCTTCCGCAAGAATAACGCAAGAAAAAAAAAGCTTGCAAATCGGTTGGTCCATTCTACACGATGATTTTACCTTGCCATGCACCAACGGGTTATTAACTTTTTTGATCGCTGCAAATTGTTTAATTGAAATTTATTTTTTAATGAGAACCACATTAAAGTGTACTTCAAAATCCTTTCAACTCAAAAGTTGCGAAATTTTACTCAAAATCTATGGAAACGTGGTCTGATATATGGTAGATATTGTAAATATTGTAGATATATAATTGAATATGCAATTGCCATTTATGTCTTGACGAATGAAGATGACAGAAAACGGAAAATATTTACGGCTCAACTTAATATATGTATAAACCTAAAGTAGATATTCAGCTGCCACTGAAATAAATACAATCACAACCATCTCTCCGAATATACTTAAACAAATCTACATAAACTGCTATATTTGACTCTCTGTGTTGGTGTGTTAGTGTGATAAAAAAACAGGGAGAGGTTGAAAATATCAGCGACTTGAACAGGGAAAGACAATCACTAGGAAATATGTGAAATGTGGACGGGAATTTGGTCTTGTAATTTATGACCCCTTTTAGAACTGGACAATGAGGAAGAAAATGCCGTGGCAACAGAGCTGACACATTGAGCCGAGTAACAATTTGGCGCCTTATCTAACGCAGATAAAACTGTTTAAATATCTATCACTGCGGAAGACTTGTAAACAGTTACCGCTCATACTTTGTTTAGATAATCTATTGCAGTTAAACAGAAGGATTTACAGCGAGAAACTAATAAATAGAGGCTTATTTGATAAAAAAAAAAACAACAAAAAAACTCGAAAGCAAAAGATCTTTAAATTAAAAAGCAAAAATAAAAGTTTGGGGAAATCTTCCTATAATCACTTATACTGTTTCAAAATAGATCGTTTTACTCAAATATATACAGTAGATACCGGTTAACTGGGTCATGGTTATCCTGTGATTTGAGTCAATGCTTAAAGTTCCAAAACAATACATCTATCATATTAGATAAAATCTGTTGTCACATTTTTTGTCTTTTCGTATTCGCTTTTTCCTCACGCCAAAGATGAATAGGGGAATTGTATACTGTGAACGCCTGTGCAAAACAGGACTCTGCAATATATCCGATGTTGAAATCTCTTTTACACGTCTATAAGTCTATCCAAGGACAGTGCTCACTACCCACAAAATCCCGATGATGGGGGTGTAGCGAGCGGTCCAGCGGCCCCGTATCACGGAAAGGGGGTGAACGAGGTCACAAGAGGCCCGCAACTTAATTGGGGCCCCAAGACAGTACATCGTAACCCTCGCTATCTTATCAACATTTGCGTTTTTTCTACCTATATTACAAATGCGTTACATATACGTTGCAAAATAAACTAAGCAAAAGTAACTTTTAAAAAATGAAAAATTTTCGAATTTTGTCGTCATTATGGGGTCCTTTTTTGTCGTTCAAATCTGTGAATTTGTTTTGTTCATGCTAAGTCTCGAAAAACCGATATAGAAAATTCACTATTTTTTTTATCTAAAATGTCAAATGTGTTAAAATTATTCAACAATTTAACAAGAAAAATCTCAAGGTGATGTTAAAATTTCTGCAAAACATTGTTGATTTATTTAAGATAAAATGTTCTATATTAACATGTCTCTAACTTGTATTAAGGTAGATTGTATTTATTTTCAATTTTTCGAGTTGAATTGTTCACCTATATTACATGATGATACATTATTTTACATAATTAGGTTACAATAAAATTTGTATTTTATATGAATACTACCTTATGAAAATTGAGATGTTGTAAAGTATAGGACGCATCATAGATTGTGAGGACGTATCGTAGATTCGGGAAGCTCTATTATAGATTCGGGGTGGAGGTGGATGCGACCCTTGTACCGGTGCTGGGCCTGTATTTTGTCTCTCAATTGAATTTACTTGACACATTTGGTCAAATGCTTCTGCTCTATATCTAGATATTCTTGACAAAATCCAAAGAAGAATCTGCAACGTTATCAGTCCTGAACGGGCATCTCGGCTTCAGTCATATTCCCACCTCCGTAACGTAACTTCCTTCTGCTTTTTCTATAAATATTTTCATGACATATGTTCTAGTGAGCTTTTTTTATTAGTATCTCGATTTAATGAATGTAATCTTAGAATTATATTGGCAGATAGCTCTAAAAATACTTAATATAACTTTTCGTTCTTTTCTAATAATTTCTTCTCTATCACTTCTCGCCAGTTGAACTCACTTCCAGTTTCTTGATTTCCCGTCAACGTTTACCTTCATAAATTTAAATGCATCATAATTCTCCATCATCTGCGTTTTTAATTTTGTTCTTTATGATCCTTTTTCTGAGTAACGTTTTCTCAGTTTTCTTCATTCTCAGTTACCCCTTTCGTCACAATGCCCAGTTTGTGATGAAAGGGGTCAATTTCTTGTGAGTGTATTCTGTGTTTATCATCACATTTCAATACTCAAATAACTCAAATCTGAAGCGCCTAAAATTCGATACAAGTATTTAGAAACGAATTAAACATGAATCGATTACGGCACAGTAACTCTAGAACAAAAAACTGTGATCTGGAATCGGAATGAAAACATTGGTGAATCCATCATAAACAATCTGGATTGTTAAATTAATAATTAATTTAATAGTGTGGCCACATAATTTATTTTTTCATATTCCATGAAATAAATGCTTGTAATATGTATGGAAATTAATATTATTTTATTAAAGTAATAATAAATTATTTCGTTTTTTATTTCATATCTCTTGTATACTTTCATCTTCTTCAGTACTGTGGTAGCATTTTCTCTTGATTGCTTCGATATTTTGTCAGTTATATGTAACTTTGTTTGCTCATAAAATATTTGGTTGTCTTATGTATATTATAATGAATATTAAACATAGCCTGATAAATCATGACCACATCACGGAATGTTTTCCAAGTTATTAGACAAGAAAGTTACTGCTGCTGTGTTTGTTGGGTGACATGTGAAGCGGAGCTGCCCGTTAAATTAGGTAACGGAAAATTCGGTAACTATGAAATAACAGTCGATTGAAAATTGGTTTCAGGCCCGTTCTCTATAATGAAGCTTATAATTAATAAATGATATTTTGGTTGTCAATATTTCTGAGATGAGTTATTATGTACACAATTTACATTATTCGAACTATTGTCCTCATCTTTGTCGCCATATTTATTACAACGTTTCGGCCGTTGTACGCTCCGGTCTTCTTCGAGGACACGTGGCGCAGTGGATAAAGGCGTTAGTTAGATCCAGTTACAGAACCCAAAGAGTGTGAGTTCAATACCCGGTTAAGGCAGTGGAAAAATTGGAGAGGTGAATTAACAGGAGATAACTGACAATCGACATCCATTAAACATGGCACGTGGAACTAGAACAGTCTACCCCAATAAGCGAAATAAAGGATTCAGTTCGACATTCCAACTACCTGAAGAAGGCCGGAGCGTACAACGGCCGAAACGTTGTGATTGGCGACAACAAAAGGCGCTATACAGTTTTTGCTTCTTTAAAAAGAAATAACTATCTAAAACTTAATTTATTTACCATTGTTTTTATTAAAATAATAAATTAAAATGAAGGCACAAGAACTTAACTTTAACTGATAAAAATCGATGTAATTTACTTGAAAACAAAACATTATATTAATTAAATAAATACTTATTTAAAAAAAATATTTATTTAAAATTATTGGAGGAGGGCTTATCCCCCAAAATTCCCCATCTAGAAAGTACGGCGCTGGCATTGTTGCCATTTTGTTTTATCTGGATTGGAAGGCATGATATTTAGATATATGGAAATGACATTTGTCGAAAAAAGAACTTGGAAGCATTCAAGAACATTTTCAGTAAATTCCTCCGCAACAACAAAGCGGAGATTTCATGGCTGGTTTTGAAAAACTGCTAAAAAATTACAATTATAAAGTGTGCAAAATATCGCTCAAGCTGTAATATTTGGACAGCTGCTTGTAATTCCTCCGACAAAGGCTAAGAGATTGTAGAAACTGTTCGTAATTATTACTGACTCAATCGCTTTCGGCCAATTCGGTAGCCATTTTGAAGGGTTCTGTTATTAGCGTTTTGCTGTGCGGATGTTTTAACTTGACTTCCGTTAGCAAAACCTACAACGAATGAAACGCAAATTTGCATAATTTTAAACCTTTACGTCACCAGTAGTTAATCTTTCGCATTTCAAAACTCGTACGCATGATTTACTGTTTAAGTAGACGTTGGATGAGTTCAATGAAACGTCCGAAAATTGTTTCCTTAATGACACAATTAATTGTTTCAGTAAAGTAATTTGCTCGCGTTCTCCTCATTACTTTGAGCGGCTCGCACAATATAGAGTTTAGGTATTTTGCATTTTTGAGTGTGATTGACGTTCGGAATTCTTTTGATGTTATCATGTTTCAGCACGGACTGTATATACTGACATTCATAACAGGAGAATGAATAAAGATGCATAAATATAATATTATAGACTATTAATAGGAATATGATTAGCTATAGTATAGGGTAAACAATAACAATGTCTAATTTCTTGTTTAGTTAGATAGATAGATAGATAGATAGATAGATAGATAGAAGTGTATCGCGAATAAGTTTTGATAAATTGAAATGCTTATAAAAAATTAATAGATTGAATAAAGATAAAAACACATGACATGAAGAGATATAAGCAAAATTAGGACGAGAATATGACGTACTACTATAAAGCAATTTAAAAAAGAAACTCTTATTTTGACATGTCTCGCCACACAACAGCTTCATCAGAAAAACGGATTTTATTTCAATCAAATATACACTAACGAAATAGAACGGGATGGTTGAATGCTGGATTTCTTTTCTTATTTTTGTTACTTAATAATTTTTAGATTTTACTAAATTCAACTCAGTTTATATTTATATATTCATTTGTTTAAAAAAATGTTCTTCCATATTGTTTCAACAGTAGTCTAGTAAGAACATGTGACAGATTGAAGTATCCAGTTCGTAGAAAAATAGGTATGAACCGACTGACGTAGATAGATAGATAGATAGATAGATAGATAGATAGATAGATAGATAGATAGATAGATTATAACAGGTATAGGCAATTTGATAGAGATGCCTTATTTAATTCATCCCTCATATATACACATACATTCGGGTGGACTGGTAGATATTTTCTTATATAGATATATACTATCCCATATCATATGAACAGAGAGATGGATACGCACACGGAATTGATAGATAGATAGATAGATAGAGAGAGAGAGAGAGAGAGAGAGAGAAAACAGATATGAACAAACTGAGATAGATAGATAGATAGATAGATTTTCTGTAGATAATTGGAGGGTACCTACGCCAAGACCCTTCCACGCGGTAATTATGTGAAGTACTTCCATGGGAAACCGGTCTCAAAGGAAACACCTCAGTAGGGAAGACCCTGTAATAAAACAATAAAAGCATTGGCCCCAACAGAGCAACCTCTTATTTTTACTCCATCAGTCTCTTTTTTTCTTTTCTTTTTTCATCTTTATACGGCAAGGCTTTTTTTTTTTGTTGTTGCGGCCGCTTTGCTTTATCTCTATTCTTCGTCGTTAGCCGCCTCTCTGATCCGTGACTTGCCGCTGGCTGGTAGGGACCCGGCCCAGTCCTCACATGAACGGCGGCAGATCGACCCCATGTCGCATAGACACGGAGTTCAGTTCAGGGGGCGGTCACACTGAAATCTAACTCCTGTCTCAAGGATATCATTTTTCAGCAGCATTCTCCATCTTTATTTCTTATGGAATTATTTCTTTTGGTAAAGTATTGGTATCCGAGTTGTAGCTCATTTAAGTTAGAATTTTTATTTCTTGAAAAATTAGTTACGAACTTGTAAACTCTTACCCGCGGAAATATGTATCGCTTTAATTATTTAGCTAAGAAGACACACACACACACACACACACACACACACACACACACACACACACACACACACACGAAATGAGAACGAATCGAATATAAATTCCAACGTTCGTAACATTTATTTAAAAGAGGGCTCAATATAAAAGTACAGATGAATTCTTTATTTTAGGATATTATATGAAAATATGAAAATAAACGCTACATAAATACATCAAAACATGATTGCATTTATATAGCGTTTATTCTCACGTTGATGTAATATTGTAAAATAAAGTGTATAATATCTGGCCATCTTGGTATTAAGATTATTGATAAAAAAAAACCTCGGTCCTATTAACAGGACAACGTATTCCGTCTACCCGATTTCACTCACAAAGCTTAGGTCAATCCGTGGTATGTTTTTCAGGAACTTTCCAAAGATCCTCCTCCAGACCGATAATATCAGGAAGTTTCCTCCCAGACAAATCGACCATAGTGATATCCGAACCTCTAGTCTCATGTTCTGAAAGCGATCGTCCTAACAACTCGGCCATGTCTGTGTGTGTGGGTAAATTTCGTTGCATGCACTTATGTCAAAATTACTCTTGGAAAATGTATAAATCCTTCTCTTCTTTCTCTTCCGCTATGTAGCAGGACAGACGGAACTTTTTAACATTGGTTGATAAGCAGTCTAGGAGAAGAAGACAATGCCGAATTCAAAACGATGGAAAAGTCCATTACATAGAATTCGTGACATTTTTCTGTTTTCCAATGAAAATAGAATTTTTTTTTCCGAAATTTGTGTACATTTTTCATCAAGAAGCAATTGCCAAAGATTTTTTCATTTATAATGTTGTCAGTAGTATTCTGTTTTCTGGCTTTATGTTTTGGGGTTTTATCATTTTCACATATCACATCATTGTATTTTCATTTATAATATTGTCAGTAGATGAATGTATTTTGTTTTCTGGCTTTATGTTTTAGGGTTTTATCATTTTCACATATCACATCATTGTTTTTTCATTTATAATATTGTCAGTAGATGCATGTATTTTGTTTTCTGGCTTTATGTTTTAGGGTTTTATCATTTTCACATATCACATCATTGTATTTTCATTTGTAATATTGTCAGTAGATGCATGTCATTTGTATTCTGGCTTTATGTTTTGGGGTTTTATCATTTTCACATATCACATCATTGTTTTTTTCATTTATAATATTGTCAGTAGATGCATGTCATTTGTATTCTGGCTTTATGTTTTGGGGTTTTATCATTTTCACATATTACATCATTGTATTTTCATTTGTAATATTGTCAGTAGATGCATGTCATTTGTATTCTGGCTTTATGTTTTGGGGTTTTATCATTTTCACATATCACATCATTGTTTTTTTCATTTATAATATTGTCAGTAGATGCATGTCATTTGTATTCTGGCTTTATGTTTTGGGGTTTTATCATTTTCACATATTACATCATTGTATTTTCATTTGTAATATTGTCAGTAGATGCATGTCATTTGTATTCTGGCTTTATGTTTTGGGGTTTTATCATTTTCACCTATCACATCATTGTATTTTCATTTATAATATTGTCAGTAGATGCATGTCATTTGTATTCTGGCTTTATGTTTTGGGGTTTTATCATTTTCACATATCATATCATTGTATTTACATTTATAATATTGTCAGTAGATGCATGTCATTTGTATTCTGGCTTTATGTTTTGGGGTTTTATCATTTTCACATATCACATGGTGATGTTTTTTTTTTTTTTTTTTCGTTTTGTTTTCTGTCATTTTTTCACAGTATCCTGTCTTCATGCTCAATTTATGTTGGCGTGGCAGATGAAAATTTTCTGTAACAGAAAAATGTATAGAAAAATGTAACAAAGACGATTCCTTGGTCTTTAAGCAAGCATGATCACACATGCGCGGACACTCACATGCTCGCGCCCGCACGTGTGTGTGTGTGTGTGTGTGTGTGTGTGTGTGTGTGTGTGTGTGTGTGTGTGTGTGTGTGTGTGCACGCGCGTACGAGTGTTTATCATAACAAATAACATTATATGTTTACTTATGCGAACTCGGAGTTTGGCAATTACATCCACAAGTCAGGAGAGTTGATTCCATAAATGAATCAATATAAATAAGTATTGGAATAATGAAATACAATGTAGCTGTTTACTAAGCTAAAATTCTTTCAGAACAAAGCCACATAGATGGAGAACTCAGTGAGAAAGAAATTCATTGCTCAGACGTAATTTCCAGCCAACCTAGATCGGCAGCTATTATCCATTTTTGATATTATGTAAAGAAACCAAAACAAAAAAAAATATAATCTAGAATTTGAATTGATGACATTTGCCCTACGTTCAGCATAAACACCTAGGAGGAGAAATTAATAAATAGTAGGAACTTCAAATACCTCTGTTTATGGAATACTAATAAAAAAAATCAGTATAGAAAATAAGGAAATTGAACATAGTCTGAGTAGTTACGGCAAATTACTACAAAACAAAAACATTAACCTAAGATTCGATTCATATTCTTAAATAGCTTCGTTAGATGGAGACTTTTATAGGAATTTCATACATAGCGCCAAACATGTTCAAAAACGTAGAAACTGTCAACTGTATTCAAAAGCTTTTTCAGATCATCGATTAAAAATGGCCCCAATCGAATTAACCTTTTTGGTCTTAAAGTGAACCATCTTCATTTGAATCTCGTACACTGGCGCTACAGAATCACAATCAAACTCCTGTACCAAGCAATAGAAACTATGACACATGATGGTTTTCAGGAGTCGCACTAAAAAGGATAAAACATGTAACTCGAAGAAATAAAGTTGACTTTCCACACTCTTTCGAACAAAAGGTTTAAAAGTAAGATCACTTCACTACTAGAAAGGGCGATAACCGTGGATTTGGGTAGCCTATTGTCTTGAATAATTTGTTCAATAGAAAGATTTTATATATTTCTACCGACAGTAGAACTTTCTGATCGTTTAATGAATGTTTCATATAAGGAAATGACTAATGTTATTATTACTATTAACATTATGCTTATCAATGCATAATTTTGCATTATGTTATTCATCTCCACGAGAAATGAAGATAATATCACAGCAATTATTCTTTTATATGCCGTGTCATTTCAGGGTATGAATGATAATGGATCCCCAAGGCTTTTCTCTCCTTTGTAGCTCTAAGCAACGATTGTCCCTTTAACATCCCCCTGAATTAACGCTCTGCCATTTACTTACACAACCCTGTTAGATAGGTTGCTCGCTGTTTCATCCAGCCCCACGTTCCCTATATATGGCATGAGTGTGTTAAATTCTCTAAGTCATCCTCCCAACTTCCTGTTCCGAAACATTTTAGCAACAATTTTTGTCTCAACCCGGATTCCTTCATTCACCAAGATTTGCTCAGTAAGTTACTTTCTGTTTTCCTTATGTCCTGTGATTATTATATTTTCAAAGATGTCCTTCCTTAGCATATGACCCATATATTCCAACTGTTTCTTTCTGATTTTAAGTAAAAAAAAAGTCAGTTTGTTCCCATTTTTCCTTAAAGGTCTATCTTTGTTTTTTGTAGTATCACGTCTCTGTCATTTCAACTTTCATTTTCATCTGCGAGCTAATTAGACAGTCTTGAATATGATAAAGCAGTAGACGTCACGATGAATAACGGATATTTTCGTTTAAACAAAGGCGGCTAAAAAGATTTAAGGTCGATAATCTGTCAGTTAGGTGCAACGCATGATACACGTTTAGACAATCATATACCTTTCGATACATGACTGACGAGACAAGTTTTTTTTTCCCGCAGTAGTTTGCCATTTCTTTCTGTCGTACAGCAGTTGCCATCCAAGGATACAGAACCCGGTCTGTCCTGCTATTTACCCATAGTTGTCGGTTGGCGAAGAAGAGGATTCATACCTTTTCCAAGGGTATTAGCACGTTAGTGAATGTAATGAATTTGAGTGGAATTCGAACTCGACTCTCCGATTTCTCAAAGAAATCTATAATACAACATTAATAAATCATGAAATCTCCATATGCGCGTGGCCGAGTGGTTAGAACGCGCGTTTTCTGACGATGGGACACAATTTCCAATCTCATCACGGTTGATTTGTCAGGAATGAGACTTTCTGATGTTATCGAACTGCGTGCGGAAAGGTGCTTGAAAACCATACCACCGGTTGATCCAAGCCTTGTTAGTGAAATTGGGTTGATACGGGCAGTCGGTGACTAGTACGAAATCGCAAGTCATCGTGGGTTTGTTCAGATACTTGATCACGCTAGATAACACGCTCTCTCCCAGATAAACCATTGGTGTGTTCTCTGGGTGTTGAACAAACACAAATGTGCGTGAGTGAGATTCTGCAATAGGGATTTACCAGATATTAATAGATATATGATATTTTATCAGTAAATACTTTATTTCAAAATTTAGTAATTATAAATTTAACAAATTTAATATTTTTTCTATTAAGTATAAATTTTCAAATAAAACTCAGTGTTATACGCTGATACGAATTCACATGCTAAAAAATTCGGTGAATATTTTTCATGATTACTTCTATACACACGCAAACACATTTAAATCTCTCTATTAATCGAGTTAACAAGGTAGTTTTTGCTGTTTCTTTTGATCAAAACGAAAAAGATATCATTTTATCTTAACTAGATGCGCTTGTCACAAATAATATTCCTTTGAAGTATGATGGTATTTCGAATAATTAATCGATAAAATCTTTTCCGCCTTTAAAAAAAGTGTCTGTCACTCCAATT